CATCGTTTCTCGGCACTAAATAGAGGAAGAATAAGTTTCAAACGAAGCGTATTTTGTTTTGTCACAGGAAGTGGAGTGAGCTTTGGGAGAGCCCTGAGACATTGACTTGAAATTCTGTATTTTAGTGTTTTCCTGGCCAAGCCAATGGCGTGGATCGGTGCCTGGTGGAACGCGAGGGGGATCGGGATGGGAGCAGCAGGGCAGTGGGACGCCCCCTTCCCTGATGACCCTGAGGGAGGAGGTGCGGGGCTGAAGGGGATTGGGGGGTGAAGGCAGCCCTTCCTGAGGGAGCTGCTGGCTGCTGTTCCCTGCCCGGGGGAACCTGAAATTGTGGTGTCCGGGGGGCGCGGGGTGCCCTTCCCGGGCCGCCCCCGCTCCGGGAAACCGTTGGAGCGGCTTCCCGGGCGCCCCCGGGCGCGGGCGCCGCCGGCAGCGGCAGCCTCAGGAAAAGGACCCGGGTTTCACAATGGCTCAGTCCTCCCCCGGCCGGGCAGCCCGAGCCGAGCCGCCTCTTGCCCTGAAAAACCCCAAAATTGGTTGTCTCCGCGGCGCGGGGCACCGGGGCCGCTCGGCGCGCCGCTTCGCTCGCCGGTGCTCCGGGAGAGCCTCGGCTGCTCCGGCGGCACCGAGCTCAGCCCGGCGGGGTGACAGCTCCGAGCCCTCCTGTGCAGCCCCAACCCCCGAACATCCTTCGCTTCAACCCCGCTGCTCCTGCCGAGCCGCCGCCGCTGCTGGCCAGCACTGCCTCCCGCACCGGGCGTGGTGAGCGCCGCGGTGATGCTGCTGGAATTCCAGCCGAATTGCCAAATTCCCGCTTGCTCCTGTGGAGCAATTTGCTTTTTGGTTTCGCTATTAATGTTGAAGGGCTGCGAGGTCGGCGGCGTTGGCTTTCGGTGGTAATTCACAGCCCCACTGATTTAATCCATGCTCTGCTGCCAAAAGCAGGGTTTACCCGGGGTATTTGGGGGTATTTGGGATAGGGTTGTGCCCAGTGGTGGGGAAATGCTGGGAAATGCTGTTCGGGATCAGGAAAAATCCAGTGGGTCGTGCAGGGCTGAGTTTGGCTTCTCCTGCGAGGGGGAGATGGAATTAATTCCTGTTAAACTGAGGGGGTGGGCAGAGACTGGTTTGGTGCCACCCAGCACTGCCCTGGGGCTCGTCTCTGCCTTGGGGACACAGATTTGTGCAAACGCTGATTTTGGGGTTAAATCTGCCCTTTTTCTCGTTGTGCTGTGGTTCTGCCGTGCCTGTCCTCACCACTGTACCCTCGTGAAAGGTTGCAAGCAGTTTTGGGAACACGTCTGCCTGAAACATGTCAGAATCGGCCACAAATTGCAGATGAGACTGATAACAAAAGCCAACAACAGAAAATAGGTAGAAAAACAACACGGTAGAAGCTGAGAGACCACTGAAGGACTTTTTTGTGTGTTTTTTTAACCAGCTGTCTCACGATGGAAGTGAAAACACATGAAAAGAGAAATGCCTTTTGTTCTCCCACTCGAATTAAGGTGCTCCAGCACCAAACGAGGGTTGAATCCCATGGCTGGAGCTGCTGCCCAGCCCAGCAACTTGTAAATCAGCATTTTGGCACCGATGAGGATGGTTGGATGTGTTTTTGAGGGGGTTTTATGGTATTTTTTTAACCTTAAAAAATGTGCCCTGCAGCACATGAGTAACTCAGCTCATTTTCTCAACCCAGCCTGCTCTACCTGAACATCTCTGCTCGAATAAATCAGGCTCCAGCTCAGAAATTAGGATGAGGTTTTTGTTTTCGTTCTACTTATTTCGTCTTTGTTTTTATAAATAAATACAAATCACTCAAACTGAAACTCGATGGCTTTGGTGATAATCAAAGAGCAGCCCTGGGGAAATTTTTCTTCATTACCATGTTCTTTCACAGCCCACACTCGGGGTTTCGGGAGGAAAACTTAACCTTTGCAGCAGCAGCACCCGACACTTTTTGAAGTCCTGGCACGCTCAGACTCGGGGTTCACATCGCGGAGCTGCGTTGGCATCACCTTTATTTCAGGGCCATGTGGAGAGGAGAAACTCTCTCACCTCCCAGCCCTTTTTTTCTCTTCATTTCACCCCTTTTCCCTCCTTCAAAAAAAAATTTAAAAAAAACAAGAAAATGTTGGACTCCCCCCTTGCTCAGGTTTTGTTTTTTCAGTTCTGTGGGGCAGCTCTGCTCTCTACCACCTTTGTACACCATGTTATAGTATTTGCAGCTCACTTCCTGTATGAGGTTACTTTGTTTATCATAAAACCCCTATTTTTAAACCCATTTCTGCCAATAAGTCATTTGAATGGTAATAGCAGGCGCGTGTGACTGTGCCCTCTGCCCCTGGCTGACGGGGGGGACGCCGGTGGCTCTAGGAGGGATAGGCATTGGAATGTGGGCTCAGGGCATCCCAGGGCGTCCTGTGGCTCTACCCTCAAACCTCAGGGGGATTATTTGTGTGAAAATCACCAGGATTTCTGAAAATCCTGACTTTTTTAGCGTGTGGTCTCATGTGGTGTGGGGATGTGGACAGGCAGAGCTGCAGCACTCACCATCCTTTCCATCCTTACGGAATGGCCACTGTGCCATCTTCCAACTTTATTTTCATTAATTACCAGCCATGAGAACTGTGGGATTGTCAAAAAACAGTTGGCTCAGCCCACTCTGCCCATAATTGCAGCGGGATGAGGCATGGATTAATGAATGGCCTGCAAGGCCGGGAAGCACCAGCTACCTGTGTGTCCTCCTGGGAAAAAGGATGGAGGAGCCTGTCACAAACCCAGCGAGGAGAAATCCATCAAATCTGGAAAGAGCAGGCCCTGTATCCCCAAAAGGACTGTGTGAGGCCCCCTGAGCTCCACAGGACCAGCTTTTGTTGGAACAGCAGTGTCTCCATCAGGGGTAACCTCGTTGTCTGCCTTTCCTTGTGTTGTAGGACTTAATTTTTCAAGATTCTGCAGACAAGAGGTTTGGGATGCTCAGGAAGGGCGGCAGAAAGGTCCCGTTGGTCCAGCCATCCCTGAGCTTGTCTTCCACCCTATAAAAACCCCTCTAGAGCACCTTTAACATCCCTTTACTGCTTTTAGGGACCTCCCTGGTGTCCAACACTTCCCATCTCTGTCTGTGCCGAGTGTGACCCCAGGAGAGGTTGAGCATCCAAGGAGCTGCCAGAAAGGCAGAAAAGCCGCTGGAAAAAGTGAGCTTTGTTGCAATATGAAAATCAAATGCAAAGCTCAGGGGGTATTTTTAGCTGGTTTAGGCTGCACAGGTGTTTGAAAGGTCAGTGACGAGTCATTGGAAAAAAATGTCTATTTATTTCTGTGTGTGGGGAGAACCTAGTGTTGCTCCCGTGGCTCTGGATGACTGGAATGGCATCCTCAGCTTGGGTTGCTTGGCATTCCTGAGGCTGGTAGAGGTGTGGGAGCGCAGGAATGTCCCAGTTTTGGGTGTCCCCAACAGCATGAGCACATGGCAGCCATGAGTGTCCAGCTCTGACACACACAGGGAGCTGTGGCTTTCTCCATGAATAAAATCTGGGAGTTTGCTCCTTTTCAAGGAACAAAGGCCACTTGTCATCCTTAAAACAGGATTACATGGGGGGTTTTATGAGCTCCTAGAATTTAAGAGCATGGAAAGGGCCTGGCTGGTGATGTGGCTGTGGTGGGCCTGGCCCATGGCCAAGGTGGGCTGAGGCCAACCTGAGTTTGGTGGACCCGTGACCACTTTGGGCTTGGCCACAACCAACAGGCCATGACCACCTTTGTCCTGGCCAGGAACGCCTCGGATTTGGCCTTGGCCAACCTAAACTGTGACCACCTTGGATTTGGCCACAGCCAGTGTGTGGGCTGTGGCCAGCCTGAGCCAGGCCATGGCCTAACTGGGCCAGGAACACCTTCAAAGTGGCCATGAGCTCCTTGGAGTTGGCCATTGCCAACCTGGCCCTGGCACATGCCGAGGGCAGATCCCGACAGAGGGGCAGCACTTCCCCTCCCGTTGTGTCACCAAGGTCACTGGGTTCAGGCAGGGCACGAGCTCCTCCCAACCTGAATCACAGCAGGGTCATGTCCCAGATGTGACAACTCACCCGGACACATCCACGAGCTCCCAAATTCCAACAGGACCACAGAGCCACCAGGAGAGCAGAGCCAGCAGCTGCCACAGGCTTGGCTGGGCAATTAAACCTTTTTTTTGTGAGTTAAAGAAGCCCCTAAAATAGCACCTGAAACCAATAAACTTCCCTTTCAGGAACTTCTGTAATTTGAAACACACTCAAGAACAAAACAAAACAAAACAATCCAGAATTTTTTTAGGTTGTTTATCAAGTAGGACTTGGTGGGGTTTTTTTAAAATCCCTTTCACGTGGTGACTGCTGAGGAATAAGTGGAGGGATAGGAAGGCTGGAGGGACAAATGAGATGGAAGGTCCAGGCAGAAGGTGGAATGGGAATTCTTAGGAACAGATTTTAAACTGTAAAATAAAAACCGCCATGTGAAATAATAAAAGGGAAAAAACAGTGATGCTCCATAACAAAAAACAATGTTAACAAATGCATTAAACAATAAAATAAAAATAAAATAAGACACAAAGCATAATAAAATAACCCTCAAAACTTTTTCAATGCCAGTGAAAACCAGCAGGGGACAAAGAAGTGCATGGAAGATGCCCATCAGCTGGGCTTGGGCACATGACCACAGAAATGTGAGGAAAAGCAAAATTCCAAGGAATCCCCAAATAACTCCCAGCTGGAGCAGATTTTGGGGTTGGGAACATTCAAGGCAGCACCTGACAAAGCAAATTCATTTAAGAGCTGCATTTTGGGTGGCCTGAAGCATCTTGGAGCTCCAGGACACCAAAATGGAAAGGGGAACACCAAAATGGAGAGGGGAACACCAGGTCTGAAGGGAGAATGGGTGAAAAATGGGGAAAACTGGTGATAAAGCAAGAAATATCCTCTTCTCGGGAGAACCTCAGTCCCCACAAAGAACCAGCACTCAGGACAAATAGTTCAAAGTTTTTATTCATATAAAACTCATATTAAGAACATAAAAGATTCTTAAAAACAAAACCAAAAAACAACCCCCAAAAAACAAGCCTCTTGCAATTATTTACAGCAGTATTGCACAAGTAAAGTGGCAATTACCCTGTCCAAAATTCATCAGTGCAAAACACAAGGAAGGCAGGGAAATTGCAGTCAAAAATGCTACATTAGCTGGGTCCTGCGACACGATTTAGTGATTCACGCAATCCCATGGATTGCTGCTCCAGGAAAACCTGGCTGGAGCAATCCTGGGGGGTGGAGGAACTGAATTCCAAATTCCCACTGAATTTCACTAATGCTGAAGTCTTTGATGTGCCTAAATCACTCCTGGGAAGTGGAGACTTAGGCACTTGGAGAAAAATAAGATTAAAATCTTATCCTCACCACAATGGCTTTGGAAGGGGATCCAACACTTCTGGCAGGGAGGAAACCGAATCTTCACAGGAACTTAAATAAGCAGGAAATAAATATACAACATTTCTACAAGTTACAGCATTACACAGTAGAGCAGTAGAGTGCATTAATTACACAGGGGAAAAAAAAAACAAAAAGAAAAAAAGGACCTACAGTATTTACCAATTCCACTCTAAAAAAGCGTAGGAAAAAAACAGGAACTTTTTTTTTAAAGATTTTTTAGGGTTTTTTTTTAAAGTATATCTAAGCTGTACAAAACTTACAGGAGAGAAAGGAGAGGGAGTACATTGCACACAGATATTTGGCTCAGATGATGAAAATAATATGGTACTCTACTCTAATAAATATTTGAGTATTTACATTTGGTGCAAAAGAGGAGAAGCAAGCACAGGATCAATCTGGTTTCCAAGGAAAACTCTTCATCCTTTTGGTGCAACACAGAGCACAAGCTATGCTTAAACATGACCCAGAGCAGGCAGCCAACATGGCTGAAAGGAGCATAAATCCCTATTTTATATCATTTTTCTGTTTTGAGTCTTTTTTGGGGGCTTTTTCTCACTAAACCTCACAATGCCACAGGAATCCTACTTTTTGAGGGTTCCTTTTCCTATGATTTTTGGCTGGGAACTCCTGCTGTGGAGAAGGCCCTGGGAGACTTAGCCAACATCTTGAATTTTTTTTTTTCCTTAAAACGAATCTGTTTTTTGTCTCCATGGAAGGACAGGGTAAAGTGCTCTTTGGTGATTCTTTGGTGTACTCCAAGGGACACATTCTGGGATGCCAAAGGTTGGGAGATCCCAAAGCACCATTTCATCCACCAGCAACGATGGAACTCAACTGGGAGAAAAAAAAAAAATCTCACTGGGTCTCCCTCCCTCCGCTGCCAAGTGTTATCCATTTAATTTTAATTTTACCAGTGGAATTCCATGGGAAATCCCTGGTGGCAGCCTACAGTAGGGCTGGCTGGGGCAGCACAGCCACGGTGAGCCAAAGCCAGAGGCAAATCCCAAGGGATGAGGAGCAGGATCTGCCCTGGCCAAGCTCCCTCGTTATTTGAACTGCTCACTCTCCACCAGTGCAAAGGTTCCCCCCAAAGGGCTCCAAAATGCCCTTCCCAAAACACTCCCTACTCCTGCAACTGCTGCTCACCTTGCACTTCCAAGGAAAAAAGGGAATAAAATTGGCAACCGAGGTTAAAACTGCTTCTGTGATCCTCCAGGAGCAGGAGGGGAGGCCCTGCTCCGACCTGCCAGGCACAGCCATGCAGAGAGCTCCCACTGGTATCTGTCTATCGTTAATTAACACTAATCATCATCCATGGCACTCAGCAGCTTCTCCCAGAGGGAAGAACCGCTCCAAGGGTTGCTTGGGATGGGGTTTTCTTTCTTTTCTCTTCCTATGGTGCTGGTGAGACTAGAAACAACCCCGCAGCTTTTGGGGAGCACCTGCACCAGCCTGAGGGAAGGGGGATGTTTGTGCATAGATATGGGATAGCCGGAGCAGCCAATCCCCCAAGAACATATGCTGGGAGACAACGGGAACACCCGCCAATCCATGGCTCCAGGGAGGAAGGGGAAAGGCCCTGGGACACGGAGCACCTGGGAACTTCTCTGGGAGGACACAGAGCAGTCAGATCCCCTTGGAATGTCCTGGATAAATCCATGTTTGGCTGGCGTCCTTCCATCTGCATCTGGGTGCTCATCCCCATCCAAACACGGAGAGGATCCCAGGAAAACACAATCTTGGAAACCTCTTTTGACAGCCACGACTCACAACAGGTCCTGCTGCCATCGCCTCTGGCTGCGGTGTTCCGAGAGCTGCTCCCTGCCTTCGGAACGGTTTATTGCTGGATTACTCAGTCCCCCACATCTGATAGCAGACACTACAGAAGCGTTTTCATACATTTTATAGAAAGAATTTCTTTAAAAAAAGGCAACCTGGTGGCTTGGGGTTTGGTTGGTTGGTTGTGATGGTTTGGACCCTGGAGTTCAACAGCGAAGTCTTGAAATTCAGAGTGGATCAAAAAAATAGAGATATCAAAACCCAAAAAAAAGAAAAAAAAAAAATCAGTCAGCAGGAAATAGGCTGATTTGCATTATGCAAATGAAGTTGGATTTGGGGTAGCATTAAGTATTTACAGGTAAAAGAAGTGCTGATTAAATCCCTCTGCCCTTTTTCCAGCCTTTCTGGGGACAAATGCCCCAGAGGCAAAGGGAGAGGGGAGGAATCCGAGCCTCCACAAGGCAAACTCCAAGGGCTCTGCCCATCAGTTGGCTCAGGTTTCCCTGGTTCCTGCCATAGGGCTCATGCCACAGAATTCCAGCAACGATGACAACACATGATTCCACATTTTCGCTGAGACGCTTCTGGGAAAAAGGCAAAAAATGAATAAAAAGAGTGGAGAGAAACACTGAGTAAACACCACTCTGCCATAAAACGCCACGTGGAATGGGATGTCCACCCTCATCCTGCCACATGTCCTGGGGGAGAGGCAGGGTGGGAGCCCCACATCCATCCATGAGTCCATCCTTCCCAGGCTTTCCCAGTGAGGAATTCAGTCCTGGTGCCTCGGGATGCATCTGGTGCTCAGTGGAGCCTCCAGATGAGGCGAATGATGGAATGCAGCAGGCGAAGCAGGCGCAAGATCATGACCTGGGGATTTCCCACCTGTTGATCCAAGAAGCCCTGAAAGAGAGGGAGGGGAAAAAAAAAAAAAAAAAAAAAAAAAAAAAAAAAAAGAGAAAAACCAACAAAGCAGTGACTTTAATTCCCAGAGGCACCAAGTGAAGTGTTTAACACTTTGCAGCCAGCAGAGCTTGGGGCTCATGACAGCAGTCAAGGCATGTTTCCTCTTCCAGGAAAAGCCTGGTACCCACAAGCCGTGCTGGGACAAGGAGTGGCTGGATGACGAATTGCCAGATTTCCTGAAGTCTTGTCCGAGAAATGGTCCTGGGGGGAGGCCACACCCCTGGGGAGCGTGACAGGGAACGCGCCAGGACCACGCCGCAGGACCCATCCAACAGCCCCGACCTGCCTGGCGAGTGCGGCTCTGGCACTGCTGCAGTTCCCCATTTCTAACCTCGGGCTGAAAGGGCAAACCCCGGAGCCAGGCGGGGCTGGCAGGCACGAGCCCTTCCACTCTGCCCTCCAGAGCCCAGACAGCCAGAATGCTTCCAGAAGGAAAAGGGATCTTTCTGCAAAGTGCCTCAGGGATGATAAGTAAACACTGGCTTAAATGCTCTGAAACCTCCCCAGTTTTGGGTGCAGGGAGTGAGAATTTGTCACATGCTGACTGCACCAGGTACAAAGTGTTTTTAGGGTCATGCATGACATCCCCTGCTTGTGTCACCTGAGCAGGCAGGATGTGTCCTGTGCGTTCCACTCCTCACCCCGGGCCAGCCTTGGGTTGGAATTGCAGCCGTAGCACTGGGAACAGCCTCGTGCAAACCTGGGGGATGCTCCCTGCACCTCACCCTGCTGCTGCCTGAGAAACACCCCCATTCCCATTAAATTCACCCCTTTATCCACCACAGGGTTGTAGGGAGCAGCATCATGTGCCCAGAGATTTCCAGCACCAAAGGAGCCAGGATAACACTGGAAGGCCATTCCTGCTCCTCGCAAATTACTCCAAATTTAAGGCACTGCTCTGGGAGGCAGGGAGGAGATGGGAGATGGGATGAGGGTGGTCCAGCACTGAACAGGCTCCCCAGGGAATGGTCGCAGCCTCAAGGCTGCCAGAGTTCAAGAAATATGTGGACAATGCTCTCAGGCACAGGGTGGGATTGCTGGGGCTATGCAGGGCAAGGAGTTAGGATCTGGATTATCCTTATGGGTCGCTTGCAGCTCAGGATATTCCATGGCACTCTGCATTTCTCCCAGCTCCTCTGGATCTGCCTGCTGCTACCAGGTGCCTCCAGCTTCCTGGACAGTCTGATTCCTCCCTTTCATTGTCCTTTCATCCCAAAAAGCAGACACTTTGCATCACAAGGGATCAGCCTGGATGGGGGATGTGTGAAGATGTGCATTTTGGATTCTGGATTTGGGATATCAGCTTATCACCATTTTGTTGCAGGTCAAGAATGCCAGGGCATTTGGGAAAAGTGAAGCAGGTGGAGATGATGTGGAAAAATCAGGATCATAGCAACTTGACCCGTTTTGTGGGAAAGCCAACCCTAGGAGCAGTGAGGAAGCACTGCAGGAGCTATCTGGGAGCTGAAGAGGATGGATAAAGATCCAGCAGCAAGCATTCCATCCCCAGCACTGCTCCTGGCCCCTCTTCCCACAGCCGAGCCCGAGTGGATGGAGCAGAATCCACAAGCAGGGACATGCAGCCGTTGGGAACACTTGGCATCTGGGACACCGGTGAGCTCATCCTGCTTCACCCCCTGGGCTGGGCTGCCTTGGGCTTGGGTTTAGGCTTCTCTGTGGCATTACTGCATCGACTTGGGTTGCAACACACCAAGGTGAGCAAGTTCATGGGCTTATAAAAACCTCTTTCAACACAGTCTTTGCAAAAGAAGTAAGTTCTAGGACCAAGTCTCCTTGCAGCAGCCAGGATTTGAGAGCTGGGCTGGGAATCCCACTGAATGTTTCCCTAAAAGCGATGGTGCTAGGCAGTGCATCCCCCAAAACCCCTAAACTTTCCCTGCCTCTTCCTTTTTAAAAGTTTCCTCATCACCAGCAGGTCCAGGCCCAATCCAACACCTCTGCCCCTAAACCCTTGCGCAAACCTGGTGCCCTAAAGCTTCCATTCCCAATTTCAAGGTTATTTTTAATTGATTTAAAGGTTATTTTTCATTGCTTTGAGGCCACAGCTGCTGATTTGCCTGGTCCAGGCCACCCCCCACCCGCGCAGTCTTTTCTCGTCTGAGTGAACGAAGTGCTCACCGCAGAGAGAGCTTCCAGAAATGATTCAGCCTTTCCCTTTAGAGAAATGGAAGGTGAAGAGGGGAAAGTTACCCTGCGTGGACAATAGGAGGCATTGAACTCGTCCCCAATGCGCCGCAGCTCTTGCGCAATCCAGATTTCCGGCTGCACCTCTTCAGCCGGAGAGTGGGATTGCCATCGGGAAGCTGTGTGGGATGAAACAGGAGAGTTGGAAAAACAGGAAGAAGAACAAATTGTATAGAATTTATTACATAAAATTCTGTAGTAAGCCATCAACTCTTGCCATCTTATTCCTACTTTTTAGTGCTATTATATTTTATCTCTCTTAAATCCCAGGGGTGCATGTGGGGACTCTCTGCATACAATGAACAGCCTTTTATTAGTTCTTATTTCTTTATTACTATTACTGCTATTAGGCTTTTATTTATTTATTGTAGGCTGTCCATGGGAGCATCTCCCAGCTTTGGTCCCTCTTAAACAGGGATGAGTCAAGATGCCACACTCCAATTTCCCTCCCTCACCAAACCTCCTCTTCCCCCACTTTTCCTTCAGCAGCAATTCCTTCCCTAACCTTAAAAATCCTCTGCCTGGATATTTTCATTCAATTTTCACATTTCTTCCCCAAATCATCCTCAAGTGCCCAACAAGGAAAACCAATGGGTTTGTCATAGGGAGGAGAAAGCCACAATTGGATTTATGTGTGGAGAAACCACATTTCCAGCAAATCCAAGTGCTGGCTTGAAAGAGAAAAGAAAGAGTTAATGTGTTTATTATTTAGGTTTCCACCTTAAGCAGTTATTAAACATGTGGTAAATCCTTCAAATAGCCTGGGAAAAAAAAAGAAACAGGACCATGTATGGTACCAGCACCACCTCATCCCCCTTCCTTAAAGTTCAGGATCCAAGCAGGAACTGCAGCCTTAATGAATATTAAACAACAAAAAAAAACCCAAACAAACAAACAAAAAAAAAACCAAAAAACCCCACCACAAACTAATAAAAATAAAACAACCCCATATAACAACAAAAAAAAAATCAAAAAACTGCACAAAACAAAGCAGTGTTTTGGCACGACAGCATCGACAGAATCACAAGGGAACAGGAATCGCTTCCAATCTTCCAAACATTCAAAGGATTAGTAGGGCAGTTATAAAAAAAAAAAAAAAAAAAGAAATTAAATAAAAGCCTGGCTCCAACCTGATTGGAAAATGCATTTCCGAGCCAAGGCAGCGCTGCTTGGCCGCAGGATGTGTTTTGTTTTCACGCTGTAGTAGTGCAGGAGCAGCGCTTCTCCTCCCGCCGCAGAACGAACCACGCGCGGCGCTCGCGGTCCTCCCTCCGCCCCGGCTCCTCGGGGAGCCAAACGGGATTCGGCCGGGGCGGAGCGACCTCCCCAAACCCCACCGCCGCCGTCAGCAGGGCCGGACCAGCCAGGGAAACAAAAACACGCGGCGAGCCGGGACAGGAAGAGGCGAGGAGCGCCGGGGACCGTGAGGAAAACCACGCGAGGGAGCAGCGCTGCTCCCGCTCCATCCTTTTCCCCCTTTGCCATCCTTGCCCCCGCCTCGGCATCGCACCCGCGGGGCTCCTCCGCCCGAGAGACTCGGGCTGGGCTCGGTGGCTGAGAGCGAAATTGGGCTGAGGTTTTCAGAAAGGACTTTCTGCGGCGCTGCCGAGCGGCGGCGGCGAAAGGGGCCAGTCATAACTGGTCCCCAAACCAGTCACAGGCTCTTTCGGGGCGGGGGGACACAGTCATAGCGCGAGACAGCGCCCGCCACCGAGGGCGACACGTCTGGCCCGGGCACGGCGACAATCCGCGGGCACCGGCACCGCCGAGAAGCCACGTCGGGCTCCAGGGATGCTCCAGGATGGAAGTGCTGCAGTTCCGGCTCGGAAGGGCAAAGAAACCAACCCCAAATTGCAACGTCAGCTCCTGAGTGAGGTAACCAACCCCCCAGAAGGAAATCTGGGAGAGCCGGGAGGAAACAGCAACGATTCCAAAACGAGAGTGTGAGGACATCACCAGCAGATTCCCAGCTCAAGGTTTTCCCTTTAAATCCAACTATTTGCACGTGGAGAATCTTCTTCGAGAGCAACAGGTTTATACTGCTTCTCTGCTCATGCGAATACACACCGGGATCAAACCACCACTGGGAATACCCATTTTCAGGGCACCTGCTCTAGCCACATTCCCAAAATCCGCATGCAAACAAACACGTTGCCTTCAGACCGAAAATCCAACGGAAGGAAAGGAAGGAGAGACACAAAATACCATGCACAGTCACCCAACCTCTCCAGAAAGAGTGAGTTTGTTTTGGGTGTCCTACACACCCAGCTGGGAATTCCCCATCCCTGACAACCTCTTTCCCCAAAAGCAGGATCAAGCATCTTCCTCTGGCACAACCAAATCAATTCACCCTTGCTCCTCTGCTTTCCATCCCCAAAAGCATCATCCCGGATATGCCAGGCTGGCACTGCAACCCTTGTTCCCTTCCATCCCATAATGTCCCCTCGCTACTTTTGTCTCATTTCCCAAAAGAAACAGCTTTGGAAGCAGCTGGATGTGTCCCCCTGAACTGTCAGAAAGGCGGCACAGCCCAAACCATCACTTCCCAAAACCTCCACACCAACAGCTCTTTCTTACATGACCCCAGGCATTCCCAAGGGCTGCCACCACCTTTATCTGCCCTCATTAAAACCTTTGGGGAAGGTTTTGTGAGATTTAGAGAGGGACTTTTGAGGCAGCGCATGAGTTTGCCATGCTGGAGCAGCCTTGGAGCAGTTCTCCACTGCCCATGGGAGAGGCTGGGAGCATCCGTCGCTTCTCCTTGCAGGAAACGCCTGTTTATTTTAATAAAAATAATAATTATTATTATTGCTTATGCTTCCGAGAGAAACTCTCCACCTTGCAGCTTCTGCTCACAGTAGATAAAATCAAGTGGGTAAAAGCACAACAAAAATATCTCCTTTGCTTCCTTCCCGAGGGACTGACCCACTTCCATGTGGAAAACTTCATGGCACACATCCAGCTGGACACTGCCAAGGCACAGGGATTGAGGAGGAGGTGTGCAGGGCAAAGTCATGGATATTTCCCAAGGAGAGCAGCATGGGAAGTCACAGCCTGGGAGCTGCAGGCCTGGATGGGGATAAAACAGCTGTGTAGCTCCATGCTCCCAACTTAATCCATTCAGGAGTATCCAAGAGTCCCAGTTAAACAGTACTGAGGATTTTCCATTTGCTTATAGTTGTTTAGGATGATGCCCCTAGCAACACTAACAGAGCAAAGGCTCCAATAAAACAGCTGATGAGAGCACAAGAATTTGGGGGAAAAAAAATATCAGAGAAAACTTCAATTTCTTCCCAGATAAAAGAAACCCACACCTCGGCTCTCCCAGCGAGGAATTCCAGGAGCATCCCTGCCTGGCTGTGCCAGGGCGAGGTTGTGAAACATGAATTAAGCTGTAATTACTGCAATAATGTCACAAAATCTTTCCTAAGGGCATGTTACAGCCAGCCTTCCGCAGCCAGAGCCACAGCCTGGAGCCAGGAGGGAGCAAAAACACTACCAACAAAAAAAGATGGTGTTTAGATCCCAGAAAGCTTGGAGCTGATGTTTGTTATCCCCATGCCTTGCTCCCACTGTGCCCTGGTGGAAGCTAAAAGGTGGAAGTTTAAAAGTTTCCTCCAATTAATGGAAATTCATCAGGAGAGGGGAATGCTGGACACACAGGCAGCTCCCGAGAGCAGGTTTTCCCTGCTGGAGAGGCTTCACCTGGCAAAGCCACTCGTGAACACGTCCCCGCCTGCCTCCAGCCGCTTCCCAGCGGGATTTCGGGATGCATGACCCCAGCACCTCCGCCACTGATCGATGAGAGAGCCGGCAGCGACACACGAGCCAGCAGCCACTTGAGCTTGGCAGAACAGCCTTGGACGAGCAAGCCCTGAGTAGGAAGCTGGACTCAACAACTCTGTCCCCTCCTCCCCTGGCAGCAACTGACCGAGCCCGGAAAAGAATAAACATCATAGTAATAAAGAGGCTGGCGCTGGACGCGCGGGAGTTCCCCGGCGCTGTGTTTGCTCGGCGGGCCCGGCCAGCTTCCACAAATCCCAGAGCGGCGGGAGAGTCTCCAGCCCGCGGCACGGATGCTCCCAAAATCCGTGGGTGGGATGCGGGGGTGCTGCTGCAGGTGCCTCGCATGGCTACCTGCGTTCTCCATTATTCCAGCGGAAGCCGAGGCAAAGAGCAGGACCCCTCATGCACCAACAAACCCCTGGGTACTGTGTGCTCACAGCTTTACACAGCCCTCCTCTACATTCGCACCTGTACACAAACCCCGGCACTTTACACACCCCCACGAGAATCCGTGTTTTCCACCGTTCTGAGGAAAGCCAAGCCAGGTGAGCAGGGGAAGGTGAGGAAAGCCAAGCCAGGTGAATGGTCTGAAAACCACTCCTGCACGTTCAACCTGCCCTTCAACTGCATGTTCACCCTCTGCACATCTCCCCCGGCACTTCACTTTCACACCTTCACACACCCCCACAGGAACTCGCTTCTGGGGAAAGCCACGCCAGGGAAGGAGGGGGAAGCGAGGTCAGCCACGCCAGGTGAGGAGGGAGAAGCGAGGGCAGCCACGCCAGGTGAGGAGGGAGAAGCGAGGGCAGCCGAGCCTGGCGGGGAGGGGAGGCGAGGAGGAGAAGGATGGGGAGCCGCAGAACTTACCCATGGCGCTGAGGCAGTGGCTGAGCGCCTGGCAGGGCGGGCTGGGGGTCTGCGTGGCCTTGTCGCAGCCCAGGGGTGCGGGGCTGCGCTCGGCGTCGAAGGAGAAGTACCCGCTGGAGGAGCGCGGCAGCAGCGGCGACCTCCGCACGAAGATGAAGAGCGGCGAGCGGGTGGCGAAGGGGCCGGGGCTGGCGGGCGGGCCCCGCGCCGCGGCGCCCGCGGACACCGGGCCGGCCCCAGGCAGGGCGGCGGGAGCGCCGGGACGCAGCTGCGCGCCCGGGCCCGGCCCCTCCGCCGCCGGCAGCCGCCCGCCCTCGCCGTCGCGTCGCGCCTTCACCTCGGGGGGCTGCTTGGCCATCGGGGCTGCCTGCAGGGAGCGGAGCGCGGTGAGCGGCCGAGCGCGCCGAGGCCGGCCCGGCCCCCCCCCCCCGCCCCATTGTTCTGCCGAGCGTGCCCCCGCCCTAGCCCCAGCCCCAGCCCGGGCCCCCGCCCCGCGCCCCCGGCCCCGCTCACGGTGCTGCCGCCGCTGGAGCGGCCACGGCCGCGGCTGCGCTCGGGTGTGCGCGGGAGCGGCCCCAGCCCCGCTCCGCCCCGTGTTTACAGCCCCAGCACCGCCCCGGCCTCCCCCGGCCCGGCACCGCCCCGGCCTCGGCACCGCCCCGTGCCCGCCCCGGCCCCGGCCCCCGCCCCGCCCGCGGGAGCGCCCGGGCTCGGGCACAGCCTTGCGCACACAGGGACCCGGCTCGGGCTGATAAACACGGCCCGGGGCACGGCACAGCCTTGCACACGCACACGTGCACTGCCAGCTTCACACGCACACACACACCCCGCACAAACACAGCCCGGAGCGCTGCGCTCTGATACTTTTACCCTTCCCACCCTGCACCACGCACTCACACCTTGCACAAGCGATACACGCCCCGCAGTGTTCACCCCTGCACACACCCCATGTACTGTGGGTGCTCCCCTTACCTGAACACCCCTTACACACCCCAGGCATGCCTTGTTGCACCCCGAGTGCGCACACACCTCACACCCAGGTGCTTGCTCTTCACACACACCTTGCACGCACACACACTTGCTGCAGGGCATCTCCTGCACCCCACAGCCCATACTGCTGCACCCCTTGCACATGTGTGTGCACACACACCCAGCCCTGGTGCATCCCTGGATCAGCAGCAGCACCTCCAGCCTGTGGAGTAACACAGCTATGGAGAGGAAGGGCCATGGAAAGGAAAGAAGACCGTGGAGAGGAAGAAGGATGATGGAGAGGTAGGAAGGACCATGGAGTGGAAGAAGCCTTATGGAGAGGAAGGATTTGGCCCATCTGCCACAGGGGCTGAGCACTGCTGCTGGAGCAGATTCCAGGGTGGTCACAGGTCCCCCATCCCACCCCAGTGTCCCTCACCTCAGCCAGGTCCCACACACTGCTGGAGCATCCCTGGCTGCTCCAGCTCTGTTCCCACTCCAATGGGAGGGGAAGGAAAAGTCTCTGCAGGTGTTCGAGTGGACAAAAATAATTAGGGAAATTTGTTAGGAAGACACATTAGGGAAAAATTTGAAGACAGGGACCAGCAGCAGAAGGGAAGGGCTCAAAAAGTCTGGCCTTTCCCCACCAGAAAAGTGAGGGAGAAGCAGCGCTGAAAATCAGGCTTGTTCCTCTTTTTCCAGCCCTCCAACAGTGGTACCCACAGCACAGCACTGGTGGGGCTCTACAAAACCCTGCTTCCTTCACACTTCCCTTGGATCCGGGAGCTATCCGAGGCTTTTCCCCTTGGCTGGGGCCTGCAGAGCATCCTGTGGTGGTGGGGCAGAGTGAGGGGGACACTCTGGGGCAGCTGGGCTGCCGGGACATTCGGCCAGCCAGCAGATGTTGAGTCTATTTTCTCCTCCTGGGTTGTTTTGGTTTCTGTGTGGGTGGCTCACGGGAGCAGAAAGGGGATGGGGAGCAGGCTGGCCTTTCCAACACCCAGCCTTGAGCTGGCCCTTCTCCTCCTGTCCTCGGGATTCTGGAGAGCCAGGAAGGCACCAGGTGCATTTTCCCACCATGAATCATGGCTCCAGCCTCATGGAAGAAATCTGTTTTGACATTATCCTTGTTCCTCTTGTCATGAGGTGTCTCAGAGGAATTTGCACGAAAGCCGATCCCAAAGGTCCTTCATTTTTGGCACTGTGGGCACAGATTGAAGGAGGGGGAGTTGAAACCTGCCCCTCAACACTGCCTCAGGCCCTGCAGCATCCATCCCCAGCTCCCCAGGAATGCTGTTTGGGAATGCCTCATCCCAGCCCTCCTATGCACCCACCAGCATCCATTCGCAGGGAGCTTTCCCATGTCCCACATGGAAATGAGGGGGGAGAAAGGAAGGAATAGAGGAGGATGGAGGGGATCCTATGCTGCTGCAGCACTTCAGTTGTGGCATCTCCCACCCAGCCTTCCCTCTGTGCCATCACAGAATCACTTAGGTTGGAAATGACCTCCCAGATCATGGAGCCCAGTCCAATCCCAGCAGGTTGCCCCTGCCACTGAGAAGTGAGCAGGGAGGAGGTTAGAGCAAAAAAGATGGGGCCTGGCTGGCGGGAACAGACTCTTCACAGTGCCATGAAAACCCCCAGGGAAAACCACCCCCAAGCCCTCCTCCCCACCCAGTGGGTGCTCATCAAACCCCTTCTGATCTGAACAAAGCACCAACGGAAAAAAATGACACCTTGTTCTCCTTCTCCTCCAACCATCATGATAAATGTTACTTCACTCGTGCTGCCAGATAAAATCAAGTTTGAGCCTCAAGCACAAGACTTTGTCTGAGCCAGGCTTGGAGCCTGACCTTTACAATGCTCCCAATTTCAAACACCGACCCAAAATCAAATCCTTTGTCATCAGCATGGGGGTGCTTGAACAGCAAAGGTTGGACAGAGATAAGAACAGGTGGGTTTTGTTAGATAAATGTATATTTTAGTTAAAGAAACCCCTAAACCCTCCCTGGGGGATCTCCACAGGTTCACAGTGGTGACAGTGACGTGGTGGTGAATCAAGCAACAAGAATGGTCCCCTTGTGACCCGAGTGGTCCCTAGGCTGGGCAGGAGGTGGCACTTGGATTCCCTGCTGCCACCAGTGAATTTGGGTCCTGTTAATGTATATTTAAAGTTATTTATTGTTCCTAATGAGGGAAGTTACATCACCACAGGTGGCCCCAAGGAGGGGGACCAGGACTGCTGCTTCATTGGTGTGTGCCTGACTAATTACTGAGGTGGCTGCAGCTTTCAACAGCCTCACACTTTATCCTTGTTAATGCCTTCAAAGCCAAAATTAAGAATTGTGGCCAGGAATTGCAGGGAGGTGGCAGCAAAAAGGCTTGACCAGGGCTGAGTGGTGATGAGCCACCACCAGCAAGGGATGGAGGAGCTGGGAGAGAGCCTCAGACCCCAGCAGGGGGGCCCTGCTTGATGGGAGAGGGTGAAAGATGAGTAAACCTGGGTTTTCTGTAGAAGGCAGAGCCACCCACCCACACACCAGGAAATCTCTCCTCTCCCGTGTGGGTGGTGGAGGCCCCAAGATGAGTTATCTCTAAAGGGCAACTCTGGGGATACCTCGAGATCTCTATGGGCGTGGAGCCAGCACGTGCCAGTGCGGAAATATCACCCTGCCAGGTGGGCCCTGGGCTTCACTCTTGGGTTTTTTAACAGCTTGGTTTAAATCAAGTACAACAGCAGAGCCTCCACCCCACCTCATCAGTGCACTGATCCATTTTTACCCCTTGTGGGATGGTTTTAACCTTTCTCCTCCCTGCTTCTCATGGGTTGATGGTGGGATGGGGACAGGAGCAGGTGGCTTGGACAGGGGGCTGTTTTTAAGGATGTTTAATGTAAAATAACACCATTTTTAAGGGCAAAGCTGCAGCTAAAAGTTCCATCGTGCTCATAATGCTCTGAAAAGTGCTCCTTCACATATCCTTCTGCATTATATGAGGAACTAAAAATATATAATTTACAATATAGATCTAAAAACTTAAGCCTGGCAGAGATTTTGGCCTGGCCAGAGAACAGCTGGCTCTGGCTCAGCTCGTAAAAAAATACAACTAAGGGGAGAAAGGGAACAAAAAAAAGCCACCCCAGCATCCAATGTTTATGTTTCCACCAGCTCCAAGGTTGCTCCAGCTGATCTGCCTCCTGGTGCAACTCACTCCAGCTTAGTCAGGAACCAGCTGCTTCGGATCAAAGCCCAAGGCTTTTCCATGTGCCACGGGAAGCAGGCTGCTTCCAAGAGGAATCCCAGAGGTTCTGCCATCAGGGCAGGGAGAGGAGCCCCAGCTGTAGGGAGAACAGCAGCCCCTAGGAGAACCAACACATTCTAGCCCTTCCTGACCATCCCAGCCTGTACCAGGTGCCTAGCTGAACAACAAGCAGAAGAAAAACACCCCTGAAATAGAAGCAGAAGGAGGGAGAATAGGAAAGGCTGTTGTCTCCCTCCTGTGGGGAGATGCAAAAATCAAATTAATGCCCTCTCCTTCCTCACAGGGATTGTGCTGCATAAATATTCCTTTTAAAGGAACACTTTTTTTTCCCCAAAATTCTGCCATTACAGGCAAACAAGAGACATTTTTTCTTCTGAGTTTCCCCTGAGCTTGAATAATGATGTGGGGGGAGGTCAGAACGGGAGGTACCAAGGGTGGGTTCAGTCCTGTCCAACTTACATCTGACCTGCAAACCTCCATTTCCTCCATCTTAGAAATTCCTGAGGACAGGCAGACCAGGAAGAGCCCAATCCAAGTATACCCATCGCCTCCCCAACCAATTAACAACTCAGTTTAGCATATTTTTACCCCAAAAAAGCACAGAAAGATGCAAGCCATCATTGCTGAAGTCAGCCTCAAACCAATTTATTATTTGAAACCAAGTTATTACAAAAATATTCCACATCCATAAAACCCCAAGTCCTTGGAAACTGTGCAAACTCAACCCTTATTTCCGTGAGCGTTTGTGCTCGATGAGCAACACAACAAGTCTGTTCCGAAGGAACTTGATTTCCTTAGCGTAGGACCTGCAAAATAAATCCTTGAGCTTCTGGCACAGGATTCTGAGGGAAGGCAGGTTGTGGCAGCTGGGAATGTTCAGCAAGCTCTCAAAGAACTCTTTCCACAGCTCAGCATTGGCAAGCCTGCAAAAAGGGACAAAAAAGCATCAAAAAAAGCAGTAAATTCAGCTGTTAAAATACTCATTTTTACTCTGCTCCCAGTTAGGAAAGCTGTGACAGAACCTGACCTGAGCAATGTGGTACCAACATGGGTTTCTAGGAAATCTAGGGACAGATTTGGGGAATATTCTGGACACCCACCTCCTGAAGGTTCCCTCAGGCTTCCAGACCCCATTGTCATTCTTGAGGCGCATGTAGGTCCCAAAGAGCAGGCAGTACACGGTAGCTGCAATCCCAAAGTAGTCTGTCTAAACCAAAACCACACCAATTTTGTGTCAAAAAGAGCTGTCACCCAGAGCACTAAAAATGAGCTGAAAACACCCCATGGAGGGGGAGAGGCTCTGCAAGAGGCTCCAACGCTGGTAGAGTCCAGTTGTTCTGTGTGCCATAAGCTCTGAGATTCCAGGCCGTCCCTTACCTGGTAGT